TAGATAGATAGATAGATAGATAGATAGATAGATAGATAGATAGATAGATAGATAGATAGATAGATAGATAGATAAGCTTTTGACAAATTAAGATAGTTAAATATTTGATTTAATGAGAAATTGTCAGAGGGAGGGTCTTTGTTTAGTAGTACTTAAATGACAGCAAGCTCCTTTCCCCCCATTCCTGTAGCAGATTCAGAAAATAAGACTTTTGTTATAGTTACATAGGTGTCTGAGGATTTATCAAAAAGCTAGCCATAACTTAGGTAGAAAACTGGACTCCATTAAAAAAACATAAAAGCAGAGGGAGGGGGAGTGAGAGACAACTTGATGTGGCATGGCTCCTAGCAATGAGGAAACATGAGTGCCTACTGAAGCTTCGAAATATAAAGTGATGTCCTCATAAAAATATGGCTCCAGGCTGGTGTGCCACTAGAAATTCTTCTGCCAGTTTAGAATTATTTAGCTCAAAGGGATCTCTAATTCAAATGTATCTTTTGATGCAAAATAAGCTGCATGGGGTGAGAGAGATAGTGTTCAAGATGAGAAAAAGGCATTTGCTCTCAATTGCCATTTGGGTAAACTGAAAGTATTTGTGTTTGGCTTATGAAGAATGGAAGGGGCAGGTGGATTACCTTACTGGTGTGATGTGGGTCTCCTCCAGGTCCTTGCCTTACAGTCAAGTGTCACTGATATGAGAGTAGTTAAATAATATTGAAAGCTTCAGTGCTGCTGGTTATCAAGGGAACCTCTTAGCCTAATTTGAAAGCTCAGAGCTTCAGGCAACTGCATTTTTTCACCTTAGTCCCAGCCTGTGTGTTATTTCAATGCAGTATATCAAATCAGTGATGGAATATCACGTACAATGTCTGTTTAATGGGTTTATTCGCTCCCCCTTCTGCCATGTGGTTTATATTTGACTTGTTAAGCTGCCCTCTCCCCCCATCACACCCCCAAAGAGCTGAGGATATAAAACAGAAGAAGGAGAAGGAGAAGGAAGAGAAGGAGAAAGGGCGAGGGATTAAAAAAAGAAAAAACACCTCAGGTCCCTTGCTGCCAAAATTTCAAACAAGCAAACACATAAGCCTCAGTGCTCAAAGAAATGAAAATAGTGGAAAGTAGAAATACATACATATGTATAGACTTGAACAAAAACATGAGCTGCCGCCATGGCAATCTGGGCTCTGATGTACCAAACAAAAGAAGTTATTACTCCGAGCAATCTTCCTACCCTATAGCTTGGGCAAAACAAGTATGAATTTTGATCACATTTGCAGATTTTGCTGTAGAACTCTATAGAACTACCATACTGTAGTAAATTCAGTTTGAGATTAAAGAAAAGAGTATTCGCACAGACTCTTTGGGGCCATCAGTAAATAAGAGGGATCCTTTGGCTCATTTTAATAGAACGACAGTTTGAAAAACTTAAATGGAATATTGGGGGGGAGGTCGCCTTGTATTGAGTACCTCAGGAGTACATTCATTTATTAAAGCAACCTTCTCCAATTTGGTACCTTTTAAAAATGTTAGAACTGGCAGGTCCCAGGATTTCTAGCCAGGGCACTCAACAGATGGGCTTCTTGATATAATGACATTTTTCTGCTCTCTTATTGGGGTTCAGATGATCATTGATGCTCTTGCCATATTTCAGCAAGCAAATTATTTGGGGAAGAAATTAAGAACATACAGAGCAGGGGTGGATAATTATGGCCCCTTTATGACCTGTGGACTTCAACTTCCAGAATTCAGCCATGTTGAAGTCCACACATCATAAAGAGGCCATAATTCCCCATCCCTCATATAGAGGAACAATTTAACATAAACTATGTTCCTCAGCCTAAATAAATGTGCAGTATATATTGTTCTGTAAAGATTTAAGGGTTGTTTTCTTCCATTTCTATTGCTTCTATCCCCAATGTGAAGATTCTTTATAATAGTTTTAGGGAGAAAATGCCTACAGGCCATATTCACTTCTCCTGCCATAGACATATGAACTTAGCGTGAACTTAGTGCTGTCTGAACTAATATCATCCTTTAATTTCATATTAATGATAGAAAAGGTGTTCTTTAGAATCAAGTTTAAATCAGTCTAACATTTCAGAAACAATCATCCTTTTGAGTTTAACCTGGGAAAATGTTTATTTATAAGAGATCTTCTAGTTTTCTTCTAGGATTTTCTATCAAATCCATCTGAAAAAGAAGTTGAAAATGTAAATGGCACCACTGGACAAGATTTTTTGCAGCTTAAGATAAAGATCATAGGTGACCTTCCCCGCCCCCCTTCTTACCAGCCTACCAAGAGACTTTCCAATTTAATCTAATTTCAAGATTAGTGATAACCTAGTTTTTTCACTGTAGTTTAGGCCAGTATATCTGATATAAACAGTGAAGAAAATGTTATACAACAAAGATGGTTGTCCAGTATCTACCTCCTGAAAAAGTTATCTTACTTGTCTAATGATAGTTGATTTTTGAGCTTTCATTAGTTCTTGCTCAGAGATCAGACCCAAACTGGAGATAATCATATACTAGGACAGCGATGGCTTTTAGATTCGAGGCATGAGGTAAATAATAATGGCTTTTATTAACAGGCAACAGCAGAACAGTAACTTCAGAACACGGACAGCGCTCGGCTGCCTGACAGCTCTTTATATATGACAGCTGTCAGGTGGCTGGCCAATAGGTGGCTAGTGATGTTCCTGCCAGCCGGCAGGCGCACCACACCCAATCAGGAGTCTGCGGCTCTGGCCCCGCCTGCCAGCTGTGTCGACAGGACACAACACCCCTTCCCCCCAGACAGCGCATGCGTAGTCTTTTAGGTACGCTGTCTTCTGCGCACGCGCTGGGATCTCCGGAGAGAGGGAGTGTCCGTTGCTGGAGGAGGAGGTGGTCCGCTGCTGTGACGCAGCGGGTGGGAAGGCCCGGCCCCCAAGTCAATAGGAAAATTCAAAGGTAGGCGGACTGCATTGATCGAAACATTGGAATGGCGGTGGCGCAAAGCGGGGAAACCGGCAGGAGGTTGCAGCGCCGTGGCTGGACACGGCTGGGCAGGATGGGCGGCCGCTGGGCGAGCAGGTCCCAGCTGCGGTGGTTGTGGAGAAGCGAGCGCGGCTGGAGATGGCAGAGCCATGGCTGGCAGTGGCTGGGTAAGTGGAGCGGCTGCTGGGTAGGCAGACCCCGGCCGCGATGGTTGAGCAGACGATGTTGTTTGTGGTTGCGGTCCCTCGGGTGCCCGGCGGCGCAGTTGATTCAGATGACGCCGCCAAAGTCTTCTGTCACCCAGCTGGACCCTATAAGAGCATGGGCCAGTTAACTCGGTGATGACCCCCGGCAGCCATTTCGGGTCCCCTGTGAAGTTTTGAGCGAATACCCCCTCACCCACCAGAAAAGCCCTAGGGGGTTCAGGGGGAGGGCCAGCGGTGGGGGAGAAGGATGGGTGGAGCTGGTCAAGGGTGGTCGTCAGGTGGCAGCCCAGGAGGATTTCCTTAGGGCTCTTGCCAGTAGACTGGCATGGGGTGGAGTGTTGGGTGAGCAAGTAGGTGCAAAGGCGGTCGACGGAAGAAAGGGCATCGGCACAAGGATCGAGGACCATCATTTGACTGTGCACAGCAGAGTTGGGCAGCNTAGATAGATAGATAGATAGATAGATAGATAGATAGATAGATAGATAGATAGATAGATAGATAGATAGATAGATAGATAGATAGATAGATATAATAGTAGTTGGGAAGTTGTGTCCAACCCATCGTGACCCCATGGACCATGTTCCTCCAGGCCTTCCTGTCCTGTATCATCCTCTGGAGTCCATTGAAGCTGGGATGTGGGGGCAGGGCTTTGGGAAGCCAAAAATGGCTGTATTTGGTGTATAAGACGTACCAACATTTCCACACTCTTTTAGGGGAGAGGACCAAGGTGCGTCTTATACTCTGAAAATACAGTAATTCTAGGAAGCCGCCTTAAAAAAAGCTCACCTACCTGCAAGACGTAATCCAGGGCCAAGTGCCGGAAACATTTCCTGGTGATCGTCAGCGTGCCAGTGGCCTCTTCTACTTCGTGGGGCTTGTGCCGTGGGGCTTGTGCGTTCTTGACCAACGCAATCTCCATGTCTTCTCGGACTTTGTCGAACTGTTTTTTGGTCTCCTTGAACTTGCGGACATCCCTGCCAAGCGAAGCAGGGTGGCGGGCGTTAGCTTCGTCGACTTCAGCAGCCCGCTCAACATCAAAAAATGGCCAAGTTGGACTTCGTTGGGTATGTCCAACCATTGGCAACTTTCAGACGGGTGGACTTGCACTCCCAGAATTCCACAGCCGAACAGGCTGGCTGGGGAATTCTGGGAGTGGAAGTCCAGAGGTTTTAATGTTGCCAAGATTGCACAATGTTGGTCTATACTGCCATCACAAGATCTGCTTAATGCCGGCGCATCGGATAAGGGCTGCCTTTACTAGAGGATCCAACTTTCCAAAAATACTAAACATTTCCTAAGCAAAGGTGAAAAACATTACAACTGGCCCTCTCCTTATGACCACAACGGACTCCAAAATCTCCTTGGCTTTAAGCATGATGGGTGTCTTTGCCCTGTTTTACGACCTTTCTTGCCACCGCTGTTAAGTGAATCACAGCCGTTGCAAAGTTAGCAACACGATGGTTGAAGGAATTTGGTTTTCCCCCCTTGGCTTTGCTCACCAGAATATCAGGGGGAAAAAAACTGATCCCAGGGACACTGCAACCGTCATAAATATGAGTCAGTCGCCAAATATCTGGATTCTGATTATATGTATATGTATATGTATATGTATATGTATATGTATATGTATATGTATATGTATATGTATATGTATATGTATATGTGTGTGTGTGTGTGTGTGTATATATATATATATATATTTGCTTATTCTTTATGCATCTTTCAGGGCAAATATAGGAATATGTATGTATGTATGTATGTATGTATGTATGTATGCTGATAAGGGAGGAGAGCTTGTGGCTTAGAGGTTAATACAACTGCCTAATATTTAAAAACAGCCCAAGTTCGAATCCCAGAAAGGGTATGGCTAGCTGATGAAAGCTAAATAGCTTGAAATAGATCTATAATAGTCACCCTTCATTTATTTATCAGCAAAAATGCAACACACACACACACACACACACACACACACAGACTAAGCAATAATGAAATGCGGTGCATGTAAACACTAGGGGGGGGAAGAGAGAGAAAATATTTTAAGTTCAAAACTAGCCATATTTTTCACTTTTGGAAAGGAAGGGAATCGTTGCATAGTCTTCTTTTTTCCATGCAGTATCTTCAACACAACACATGTACTAGCCCAGGGGTTGGCAAACTTAAACACTCAACGAGCCGCAACGGTCCTAACTGGAAGGCCCCCACCACCATTCAATTCTGGTGCTGACCGGATGTCCGGTTCCCTCACCACCACCATAGAGTCTCCTCCTGGCGCACCCTGCTCCCCCCTATCCAAACTGGAAGATCCTCTCAAAATTGTGGCGCCAACCAGCGACAAGGAGCCGCAGCAGAGGGATGAAAGAGCCACATGCGGCTCCAGAGCTGTGGTTTGGCGACCCCTGAGCTAGTCAAAGGAGGCATAAACCTGGGCCCGGGAAGGAAAGGAAGTTTGCACCAACTAATAATTCAGGTAATAAGCCATTGGCTCTTGATGGAGGAACAGAATCTTAGAATCGCGAAAGGGAGGAAGGATCTAATTATTCTCCAGGAATTCAGAGCCCCGATAAGTAGAACCAAATACTCACTCTTTCACAAAGTTATTCAGCTGTTGTCGGACAGACCTCTGAGCTTGATCGAAAAGGATCTAGAGACAGCGGGGGAAAGAGCAAGCAGAGAAGAGGGGTGAGGGGAAAGCATATAAGGCCATCAAAAAAGCATTTAACTCTGGATCGTTCCAGCAATCCAAAGGTTTTTAAACGGAAGACTCTTAACATAAGCCATTAGCTAAAACACCAAAAGTTCCTGTTGGATCTAGTCCACAAGTGGGATAATCAATGGCAGTGCCCCGTTGTTTATTTCCCTGCATCCTTACTTAAGAGATAGACTGCTTCTAAGCCTGGAGGTTCCAGACCCAACAGTCATCATTGTGTCTTCCACAAGAGAACGCATGCAAAAGAAGGGGTACCTTTTGTCCACCCCAAAATATACGACACCCCCGCTCCACTGGATTACTATTTTACAGATCTGTCTACCTATAAAAGGGATGAGGTGGCTCAGTGACTAAGACGCTAAGCTTGTTGATCAGAAAGGTCAGCAGTTCACCAGTTCGAATCCTTAGCGGCACGTAACAGAGTGAGCTCCCATGACTCATCCCAGCCTCTGTCAACCTAGCAGTTCGACAGCACGTAAAAAAAAATGCAAGTAGAAAAAATAGGGACCACCTTTGGTGGGAAGGGAACAGCGTTCCATGCGCCTCCGGAGTTTAGTCATGCCGGCCACATGACCACGGAGACGTCTTCGGGCAGCGCTGGCTCTTCGGCTTTGAAACGGAGATGAATACTGCCCCCTGGAGTCGGGAACGACTAGCACATATGTGCAAGGGGAACCTTTACCTACTTATAAAATGGATAGGCTTCTGTTCTGTCTGGAAGGCAGCCAAACCAGCTAATAAACCAACAGCCACCAATTAAAGTACCGTTAAAAATAAAGTCGCTTTAAAGACGAAAATAAATCAAGAAACCAAGAGGGAGGGGGGAAAAAAACCAGTTGCATTCCCCACCTTTACCTATAGAGGGCGCCGTCACTCAACAGGCCAATATCTTTGCTGGCATCAATATGAAAACTTATGTCTAGCAGCTGCTTCTAATTTATTCAAATCGGCAATGATTGTGTATTAATACCTTTTCATTTACTTATTTGTCTTTACTATTCGGCCATCAAACCTCTTCTCAGCATCTTAATATTCTAGGCGACTTCAAAATCTATTTACCCCATCCCGTCTTCTCCTGCTTCTTATATTAATATAAATGTTACTTTCTTTTTTCTTTTTAAGTCTTTTATAAGAAGGTGGGAGCAGTTCTCCAGTTTTAAATTCCAACCAACCACCCCCCCCCCCAAGCCCCCACTTCAGATTTCTGGCTCCTGTCATTTTTTTCTGGCAAGAGGATCGAAGTGGTATCCCGTTGCCTTGTTCCAAGCTGTTCCTTTGGCAGCTAAGGGAATTCGTGTTGGCTTTCCATCCAAAAACACTGAAACCAGTCCTACTTTTTTTGAGACGAACTTGGCCGCAGAGGTGGTACCCGCACCAAGTTGTATCTGTGGGGTTCTTTCCTCCTCCCACAAATTCTTTTGACTTCTGAAAAATCCCCTGGGTGCATGCATACACTTTCCTGAAGCCCCTGGCATTCACATCCTCCACACTTGAAATAACATAAATGTTTGTTTATCCAAGTGTGGTTTTTCCTGCGATATTATTTGAAAAATCCTGCCAAAGGCAGACTTTTGCAAGCCAGCGGCCCTGGAAGCACCCATCAATCCTGCTGGCAAAAGGGTCCCCTTAGTCATCGCCCACCCTTGAAAGACTTTTAGCTCCATCAGTGCCTTCGGGCCAAGGGGAATATCCTGTTTCCCAAAAAATAAGACCTCCCTGGATAATAAGCCCAATCGGGCTTTTGAACACATGGACTAAAATAAGCCCTCCTCCAAAAATAAGCCCTCCCTGAAAATATTACTGTTTGGGGACAGCCCGAGAAAGGTTTTGGGCAGTTCATGAAAGTGTTTTGCAAAAACTGATGGGATTTTTTTAAAAAAGTCCTATTTCCCATTTACAAAGGTAAAGATTCCCCTCACACATATGTGCTAGTCGTTCCCAACTCTAGGGGGCGGTGCTCATCTCCGTTTCTAAGCCGAAGAGCCAGCGCTGTCCGAAGACGTCTCTGTGGTCATGTGGCCAGCATGACTCAATGCCGAAGGGGCACAGAACACTGTTACCTTCCCACCAAAGGTGGTCCCTATTTTTTCTACTTGCATTTTTACATGATTTGGCAGAAGCTAGGACAAGTAACGGGGGATCACTCCGTTACGCAGCGCTAGGGATTCGAACTGCCGAGCTTTCTGATCAACAAGCTCAGCGTCTTAGCTATTGAGCCACCACGTCCCTCATCCATCATATAGATAACAACTATTTGAAAGATCATCTTTCAAACTTGGATAAGATCACCTACAAATAATTTGCAGAGGTTCAATGTTCATCCCCCCACCCCCCAAAAAAGAATTAAATATTTATATTTAAAAAGAACTTGGCTTCACCTTAAGGGGAAAAAAAAACCTCACAATTTTAAACTTCTCAAGTCGTTTTCTTGGCTTCCCAACTAGGCTTGGGAGTTTAATTGTATAAAATAAAAGTTTCCAGAAAGTCTGTCTCTTTCTGCCCACCCAGTTCCAAAGTAATCACCAAGATTTCAGGATGTGAATCACTCAGCAACTGGTCACTTAGGATGGAGATGTGCCTCTCCGATGAAGTCTCGGCTCCCAAGACCAGACCAGTTATAAAGTCAACCTAAGCCAGTCTTGCGGGGTGCGCCAAAATTTCAGGGTGGCATCACCCACACAACATTTTTCCAGTGGGGGTGCGTGTGAAAGTGGAACCAATTCACTAGAAAGCTTGCCGTTTTGTTTTTTTTTAAAACATCCCTCTTTATTTTGTAGAAGTAATGGTTCATCTTCCACGTTTTTTACATTCTTTTGGGAGTACGTGTCCCCAGTGTTAGTGATTTTAGTTTTGGAAGAACAAGGAGCATACATTTCCTTCTGAGATGATGTCTCACACAGCATTGCTTCATTGCCTAAGTTGCAACAGTCCGTAAAGCTAGAAATGATCAATCTGTCTTCAGTAGTAGATGATTTTCTTATAGAAGCAGTGCATGTTTCTACTATCCGTCCCCTCAAGCCAAAGTTAAACTGGTCAGAGCTTCCTACTTTACTGTCTCAGCCAGGGAGGGGGGGGGAGTCCAACCTTGGCAACTTTAAGACTTGTGGACTTCAACTCCCAGAATTCTCCAGCCAACCGTTGCTCCCAGGGGAATTCTGAGAGTTGAAGCCCACAACTCTTAAAGTTGCCAAGGTTTGACACCTCTGGTCTAGGCCAGGAGTCGGCAACCTTAAACACTCGAAGAGCCACGACGGTCCTAACCGGAAGACCCGCTCCCCTCCGGTCAATTTTGGAGCCAACCGGAAGTCCGGTTCCCCCCACCATAGAGTCTCCTCCTAGCTCGTCCTTTTTCCTCTGCTGACCAGAAGTCCAGTTCCCCCTCACCATAGAGTCTCCTCCTAGCTCGTCCTTTTTCCTCTGCTGACCAGAAGTCCAGTTCCCCCTCACCATAGAGTCTCCTCCTAGCTCGTCCTTTTTCCTCTGCTGACCAGAAGTCCAGTTCCCCC